AATGTATTTATTTATTAAAATAAAATATTATTTAATTAAAATGTTGAGTACAAGAGGTTCTTTTATACTTAATGTATCTCGGTTTAGTGTAAGGTTTCGCTGGCGGTTGCAATACTGATTAGATGTCACTCTGACTGATATGAACTGGTAACTGATCTGAACTGATCTCACTCTTGAACTAACCGATGTTCTGTTGAGCGTGTTGCTTATATACTGTTAAGTCGCAAGGGAGGTGGTACTCTGATTCCTTTGTTCTCATTCTCGGAATCCATGGGTAGTTAAGGAGGTCAATTAGTTCTATGAATTATAATATGTACCATCTTCCTTGTATTATGAGTCACTTATGTATTATTAGCTGTTCCTGGAAGTAAGTAATTGTTAAATGATTTTATAGGTTTTTTGGCTGTTTGAAGAATCTTGGGAAGTTATCAATATAATAAAAAGGTAGGTATTTTTATAAGGGTTGCTCTGAATATAAGATCTATTAGTTTCTGATATGTTAAAGGGGTGATTTAAATATATAAATGTTCATGATTAGTTTTATAACTTTTAGACTGTTAATTCATGCATTAGAATTATTGGAAAATATTATAGGATGTGTTTCTCTATGTTAAATAATAAGGGTAGCTCATAAGAAAAGGGTTTGTGTAACTTTGCGTAGGCGTTAGGCTTTCTATCGTACGTCGTATGATGTGGTAAGAAGGAAAGGTATTTATTCTATGTCGGTAAAGGAGAGTTGTCAGTATGTCTAAGTGTTAAAGTAAGGAGTTGGTTTGTTGTTTGTTACTTATGTTAGAATCTTATTTATAGGTGGTTGAAAAAAGATAAGTATTAGGATAATATATCATTTGTAAATATGAGAAAGGTTCGGATGGGTTGTGGAGGTCGTTGTTGAAGAGCTAATAATTAATTAAGTATGCGTTTTCGCACTTGTGGTCAGTTGCATGAAATGGCGGTTCTTGATGTCGTATCCTGATTGGTCGAGAAGCCGAGGTGTTGATCACTTAATTCTAAAGTGTATAAAATTGTTGAGTACATTTGTGTAAAGTCCTAGAGGCTTTCATATAAGCTCTCTGTACATTTTAAGTAGTATTTATGAGCTTAAATATAAGTAATTATAATGGTGCCTTCTGATTGGTTGATGAGTTTAACAGTTGTAAAAGTAATTAAAATTGGTGAATACATATGTGTGGTATCCTAGTGAGTCTTTCCTTACAATATCTGTATAATATAATAATTAATAGTTTGTAATGCCGTGCTCTGATTGGTCGATAGTATTGAAACTTATGCCCGTATTCATAGATGATCCTTATCTCAAGGACTGAGGAAGCCTTATTGGAGGAATCCTTATTCTATCAAGACTTCCTTGTTTCAGAATACCATCTTAAGGTTTCCTTGCAGAAGAAACTTATTTTCTAGGGATTTTTAATATTTTGTATTTTTATGTATGATAAAGGCATAAAATCCATAAATATGCGTTTGTTTACTAAGCATAACCACAAGTCCACAACTGTGGCATAACCTTAAATTATTAGAAGTATAATTTTAATATGTGCAATAATGGAATGCGAATTAAAAAATATTCATTACACCGAAACCGAACGGATGCTTCTTGCTCAATTAATATCCGAAGAAAAAGTTATAGAAAATAAAAAAACAGATGCAGTGGATCTAAAAATCAAGAATGAAGCTTGGGAAAGAGTTACCAGAAGATATTACTGCCAAGGATTTACACCTCGTACCAGCAAACAACTAAAAAAATGCTGGGATAATATGAAACAAAAGTATTTTAACAATTTTCTTAATATTTGTATAGGCCACAAATTGTGCTAGAAGATATATCTAATTTTTGTAGATGCTCTCTGTTTTTGTTTAATATAATTAATAAGTCAGAAATTATATATAATTATATTCATTTATAAAACGTTATTTTAGAAAAAAAAAGTTAAATACTTTGATAAAAGCTCAACGTCTTATGACGGGTGGAGGCGTTTCGCCAGCAGTACCCGTTGATCCAGTCATGGACTTTATGGATG